TACAATGGTACGTGAGCAAAAGGTACATGTAATGCGTCTACTTTTCAAGCTGAAAAGTCTGGCTGAGGGACAACGAAGTTGACATTTTAAAAAATTGTAGTGTCAATTCCTTTTGTTAGTCTAGGATATAGAAATAGATCTAGACTGTTTTGCTATGCTTTGCAAGGAATGTAATTATTATTTGAAGAATTTGTATTTTGAACTCCTTGTTGAATAGCGTTGTAAATGTATAAATTTATGTAAATTTTGATATTGTATAAAATGCCTTTGAGGCTTATTATTTCGTTAAATTGAATGTTGAAATTTTAATTTCTTTAAAATTTAGACTCATTTACTTATGTAGATATTATCTTATAAATGAATAAGTGAATTAGAAATGGAAAGATAAGATGTCATTGATTCTTTAAAAAAAAGAGTCGTGACAAAAGATATAGCATGATAGACGTTATAAATGGGTGATGCGAGACAGTGGAAGACATAATACAGAGAAGAATAGTTTATTCATCAAAACTGACGAAAACACATTTAAAACTGGTCACTAATATAACTGTAATCATTAGTTACTTTATCACATCAATAATAAGTAGATCAATAACCCCTTGTCGAATTCAATTAAAATAAAGCATACACACTTCATAGATTGAATAATGAAGTCAATAAGCTAATTGTTTTAACATTAATTTGATGCATGTTTGGGACGACAGCCCAATAATTATTCTAAACTGAGATTATGGCCCAGCCCAAGAGTAAAGTAGCCATTTGGAGTATTAAAGCAAGTCAACTGCAAAATCCAAGTCAACAACAAAGATTCTCTAATAAGCAAGACATATAACAAGCCACAATGCAAGTCTGAAACACTCGAAAAGGTCATGCATTTTCGAAAAGGCTAGTTGCAATGTTAGTCGTCCATTAAAAAAGTGAACTACTTGAAATCATCAGCCTGACATAAGCACCCAATTTCTTGAAGAAACCAATATATCTATTTCAGAGAAATACAATAAGAATGGATAGTTCATCTGAGGAGAAAGGAATGTCTACTCTTCTCTCAAAATAATATGTTATGATTAAGAATTGGAATCGTCGCCCTAAACTGATAATGTTACACCCTTCTTTGTACATGTAATTAATGTACATTTTAGCTGTATCAAAATCAATAACCATAAATACATGGTCGAGTGTATCAAAATCATCGGCCATAGCATTTCAATTGATAATATTTCTTCTTTTTTATATCATATTTTGAGTTTCTCTTTTGATTTTTCATTTCTCTACACTTTATAAGTACATGACACTCAATTTTTTTCATCATTAATCTTCATCAAAAACAGTTAGCGAGTCTATTAGAAAAGTGTAGAGCTTATGAAAAAAAGTATGGCCGAACAAAATGTCACACCTAACAACTATCCTTTAATCAATTTCATAAAATTGAGAATGTTACACTAGCAAAAATGTGGAACTTGAAATATATGTTCTTAAATAAAAAAAAGATGAGACAAATGAAGATGTCTTATTAATAAAATCTGATTATGTATTGCCTAGAGATAGGGTAAGAAGATAGTTTAGACTTACGTTAATGATATGGAAATTTTATTGCTTTTGTACTTAATATAGAAGAAAGCATTGATGAAGAGGACCTAGTTCATTCCATGAGATAGTTAATTGTGATGAATCATCATAATAGATTGGATCAATGAAAGAAGCACTTGAATCCCTCCACAAGAATCAAACTTTAGAGCTTGTTAAGAAATCAGTTGATAAAAAAATTGTGGGTCATAAGTAGATATTCAAGAAAAAAGATGGAATAAGGTTCAAAGCAAGACTTATATTACACAAAGACAAGGCATTAACTTTAATAAAGTTTTTTCCTTTGCTGTGAAACACAATTTCATTTGAGAGCTTCTTACTCGGGTGTGCCTACATGATTTGGAGTTGGAACAATTTGATGTGAAGACTTTCTCTATCCATGGTAAATTAGAGGAAAGGATTTACATGTAAAAACCAAAGAGGTTTGTCGTACTTGAAAACCAAGACTATGTATGTTTGTTGTAAAAGTCTATTTATGGGTTGAAGCAGTCACTTAGACAATGGTATAAACGATTCGACTCGTTTATGATTGATATTTAGTATACAATAAGTGAGTTTGATAGTTGTGTTTATCATAAGAAATTATTTGATGACTTTTATATTCACTTGCTTCTTTATGTTGATGACATGCTAATTACGTATAAGTACCTAATTGAGATCAATAAGGTGAAGACACAATTAAGTGGTGGATTTGAGATGAAGGATTTAGGCCTTGCAAAAAGAATCATTGACATAGAAATCATTTGAGATCACGAGGCCGAAAGATTATGTTTATCTCAAAAGAGCTATATTAAAAAAATTCTAGAAAAATTTGGAATGCATAATGCAAAACTAATTAGTACACATTTTGCAGTTCATTTTAAGTTGTTTGTAAAAATTTCACCACAAATAGAAGAGGAAGAAGAATTTAGGTCTAAAGTGTCTTATTCTAACATACTAATGCAATTAGAACTAATGCAATTAGAACTAACACAATGAGAAGTACCAAATATTGCACATGTAATGAATGTTATTAGTCGTTATATGGCTAATTCAGGGAAGACTCATTGGCAAGCTGTAAAGTATAATGCATGACTTTTAAAAGATTATTTTCCATGGCAACCTATTTTCAGGGAAGGCTCATTGGCAACCTATTTTCCATGGCATAATGCGTGACTTTCAAAAGATTATATTGATGACTTAATTGTCAAATTCAAAAAAAAGGAAGAACATGTATACCTTTTCGCATGTTGGACACTAGATTTTTTGGGACCAATACACCCACTATCTAAGAGGAAAAGATGGAACCTAGTTGCAATGAAGTAGTTCAGTAAATGGGAGAAGCAAACTCTAAAATTGTAGTATCCTTCATTTGAGATAATATTATTTATCGCTTCACACATATTATAATAGCACTCCTTTTGTAAATCAAAAAGTTTGTGTTGTACTAGAATCCTACAAGATCAAACATGAGAAAAATTTATTCTTTATTACCCTTAATTTAATGATTAAGCAGAGTCAACAAACAAGATCTAATGAAGATACTTACAAAAATGGTAAGTGATAAGTTCAGAGACCAAACCCAAAGCAAAATGTTAAGCACCGAAGAGTGAGAATAACATATGATAGATTGGTAAAATCAAGAAGGACATCCAAACGGGTACTGCACATTACTAAATCCAGATAATAAAAATGTTGTGAGAACTTTGAATTTTAAGTACGTTAAAAAATATTATCTATAGAAATAAATGGGGAATAGCCATGTGGCAGGAAGAGTCATTTTGCTTTTTGTATTATATATGTTATCCCATTATAGTTTGAAATAATGAAAATGATATTTCACAAAATATTATTTGAAAATTATGCAAACATGTCACAACAATCCATAAAACAAAAGTAAACTAATTCATTAATATCACAAAATTTATCTTACATCAAACATTACAACTATAATAATATTAAGAAAGATCTACCTATTTTGTGTCACATATAAACAAAAAATTCATTAATATCACAAAATTCCCTCTTACTCAAACGTTACAGATATAATTAATAATATTAAGAAAAATTCATCTATTCTATATCGCATACAAACAAACAAAAATAGGTGTATATATTACAATCGTTGGTGTAATTAAAGAATCTCACCATAAGAATTAAAGTCATTTCCTCTAGTTCAATAATAGTACAATTAATTTTGGCAACTTATTTACAATATTTAAGTTCTTTTATAAAATGGTAGTAATATAAAAGTCTAAAATTTGTAGTCATAATACCAACTTTTCTACTCTTCAAAACGAGTCTTCTTTTTTTTTTTTCGTAGTACAGTATGTTGATAAGTTTACGACAATAAATCCTTAAAAAAAAGTAACAAATCTTAAATATATAATAATATTATATAAATATACGCATTAAGGCACAAATATAGCCTAATCATTAAGGCACAAAGGTCTTAATCTCAAAAGAGTTACAAATGCACCACAATATTCACACAACAAATCAATCAAGAGAATAACAAAAGTACACTAAACAACGTCACAAAGTCAAAAGTTATGACAACATTCCAAAAATATATTATCAAAAAACATATGCAGCAAATGCAACCCTACTTCAAAGTGGTCCTAATACACATATTAAAAAAAGGTTTAAACAAGTAAATAGTCTTTAAAATATACTCTATTTTAGAATTAGTTTTGATACTTTTTTGTTGAATTTAATCTTGAAAGAAAATTAAAAATAATCTTTATCTTAAGTAATAATTAAGTAAGCGATGTTTCACTTAATGAATTTTAGAGACAAAAATGTCAAACATTAAGAATATCAAAGACTAAAATTAAATAAAAAAACATATTACATCACATGCAATAATAATTTTGCCAATAAGTCGATTATATATGTCATTTAATATAACATATCAATGTATTACTTTAAAAATTAACGTAATTGACAAATATAAAAGTCAAAAATTAATATTGAGATTTTAAAATCTCATAGACTTGTCTATCGCTACTCGGTTGGACTTCAGTCAACCTAAGTTCATTCCCACTAGTAATGTGGACAAAGTCTAGTTGGGTAGGATTTTTATTTTTTATTTTTTTCTCAACGTTGGGTGGCTGTTTCAACTTCCTATTCTTCAACTTCAGGGAGTGTCCAAGTTCCTAACTCGCATTTTTCTTTTTTTTATATCATTCCCTTTGCTCGCTAGCTTATTTTCTAATCTCATGATTCTTCTTCACATATTGACTCCGTAGGCAAATGGAAAACACAGTAATATGATTCAAATTACATTTTTTTTAATAAGTTCAATGTAACAAGCGTTAAGCAATAAAAGGCACGAGCACGTCTCGTGTTTTGACTAGCGCTAACAAGAAACGTACATTGTTTTAAACGAGGACTTTAGACCAAATACACAGAATCATTAAGTTGACCCAACTTGTCTTTAATATTCACACGAAATCTTACAAGAAAGCAATTGACAATGTGGCATTTGAGCTCACAAGTAAAATAGGTGATTTTTACTTTGCACCGCAAATCACAAGAGGAACAAAACAATGTGTTAGCTGTTTCTCCACGACCCAATCCCCCAAGCCCCTTAAAAAAATTGCTTAGACCCTCTGTACCATTTTCTTTTCATTCAAACTTAAAAAGAGAAAATAAAATAAAAAAGACACAAACTAATTTCAACAAATATTATGATAATGATAATAATAGTAATGTCTCCTTTTTTGTTATTCGTTATACTAGCTGTCGGTGTCTTGTATTTGAACTACGCATCGTGACACCATGCAAAAACTTTGTAAAGCCGACCAAGCTGAGTTTTCCATCAGATTTCTTGATCCAGTCACCCATTAGAGAGTAAGCTGATGGACCCAAATTCATCTCCTGAAAACATTATCAAAAGGTTAGTGGGTACTTAAGAAATTAACTCTAGAAGGTGTGCTCTTGTATAAGAATGTGCAAACCTGAGCTAACTCCTCAACTGAAATGACTCGGTTTCCTGCATCTTCAAAATACTTGAAAGCTGTCGTAGCAATTCCATCCCATTCTTGATGAACTTCCAGCTGGTATACACTGATTGCAGCTGCGCAAAACTCTTCGAAGTCCATCTTTTTATAAGAGAGTGGGTCCATCTTTTGTCAAGAAACATGCATTTCAGATTTTTCGTCGTTATAAATGCATGCGAATTGTTATGAAAAGAATGCAGTTTCATAAGGAAAATAACAGATATCATATAACAGTTCAGTTAATGACACGATCCAAATATGAGTGTGGTGGCACTGATCAACAGTGTAAGTAAGCTATTGCACTTGTCAAAAGTATAATCAATTACACCATTCTGCATTCCTTACTGCCACCTATATTCATTAAATGTTGCTGTCAAGGAAATGTGCCAGACATTTCTGGTTACAGCATTTAATTCACCTCTCACTTGTGCAACTTATTTCAGCTTATTATATGATTACCAATCCAGACATGATATATGGGATCAAAACAGCTACTAAAATATTACAATGGAGAGATGGAAGAAAAACAAGTACATTCAAACTGCAAAGATGACTCACCAAATTTAAAATGTCAGAAACCCTTGATTCCTTCATTGCGTCAGTTGCATTTTTCACCAGTGCCTGTATTTCATTTAATTTCGGTTGAGATATTTTGGAAACAAAAAATAAAATCAACTATAAAAGACTAAGCTAAGGTCGATTAATTGGATGGAGATAGCAGATGAGTATAAAATATTTAAATTATATAGGGTTAACAGATAATAATATTGTATATCATTGTTTAAGACCATGTCTTAATGTCAGAGGAATACAAATGTAAAAACCACGAACTTACAACTCTAAAATTCTCAAGTGAAATGCAGCCATCTTTAGGTTCCAAGAGGCTAAACTGTGCTCTAAGGTAGATAAGCTCGTCTTCGGGCAATGCTTTTGAGAGAGCCTGCATAAGAAAAGCAAAATAGACAACATTACTCTTGTTCTATTGTCCCATACCTCACCAAAGGAGGAAAATAGGGGAAGATATGATAAGCATTTCTTTTAATGGCAGCATAACAGTGAATACCTTCAATGCTGCACGTCTCAGAGGTGAGGCACGCACATATGACTTTACTAACTTGTAAATCAAAATATCTAAAGGAATAGCATTTCTTTCATTTCTCAACCATGGGTGAGCTGCAAATATGGAGGAAACTCTTCATTAGCAAGAATCATAGAATAAGATTTAGGAGTGCACATGTGAGAGAGAATTTCAATGACACGCAATAGTATAACATTCAAATGAAACATACTTAAAGCTTGAGCAGCAGTCATCCTTTTCCTGTGGTCCTTGTTCAGAAGTCTCTTTACAAAGTCTTTAGCTTCTGGTGATATTGATGGCCAAGGTGAATCATCAAAGTTAGGATTCGCTCTTAACACAGACCGGAAGATTCCTGATTCAGTGCGTGCCCAAAATGGTCTACTACCGCATAACAATATGTATGATATAACTCCAATACTCCATAAGTCTGCTTCAACACTGTATGATCTATGAAGCACTTCAGGTGCAACGTAGTAAGCACTGCCAACAATATCATTGAGGCGTTGATCTGCATGTTTATTGTCAGTGTTAGTAATGCAAAAATCAATAAGACGATGGCAAAATGCCAATGACTATGAGAAAAAATAAATGATAAATATATATTTTGATGCTGGAGGCAATCCTAAACCAAGAAATGCATGTCTTGAGATTCATCTAAACCAGTCCATTAGAGAAAAACATTAGGCAACAAACTTCATCAATTATAGCAGAGCTTGGAACGAGGAAATTTCTAGGTTTGGGTAGAAATGAATCAATCTATCCATAATGTGTCTCCAAGAAGTTGACCAAAGAAGAGATTAGATTAGTAATATAGATATAGCAATTTTTTCCAGCGAGTATTTCCCTAGCCTCTTTGACAGACTACTAGAATCAATATAATCTGCAAGTATGTAAAATGGAAGTGAGAAAACAATAGATTGAAAGAGTTAAGGACGTGCTTGGTAAGAGTGAAAATGGGAAAGTATAAAAAATGTGAAGTGAAAATGGAACCGCTAGAAAATAAATAGATTTTAAATAGAATTAAGGATGTGCTTGGTAAGAGTGAAAATGCGAAAGTATAAAATATAAAGTGAAAATGGAACAACTAGAAATGTTGGGAGTGAAAATTGACGAGGCATTTAGGAGATAATATAATTTAGATACATCCCTCATTTTTATTCCTCTGTTTTTAAACACCTCTTTTCATTCCTGCCAAGCATGTGCTCTATATCACTTATAACTGGAGTTCACATTTGTAATGTACCAGATGAAAACAGCACATCATATATAATATCTTATTGCAGGCAAGCACCAAGTAAAGAACTTCCAAAATAATATCAGAATAATATGAAAATCTGAAAAACAATATCCAATTAAGTATTCAAACAAGAGGATTGTTAACTAGCTGCCTTTCAGCTTTCTTCAACCATAATCAACAAATTGATCGTCCCAACATGTGTAACACAAAATTTCTTTCTTACAAATTCAGTGATCATAAATCATAATATTAAAGTTTCATTCTTTCCATTTAGTTAAAAAGTTAGAGAGAGGAGTTCAGCCAAAGCATTTGAATAAAATTATAAAAAACTCAAGAAATAAAGTCATATACACAAGCGCATGGTTCCAACATGAACATGTTTGTTTTAGATTTTGAGGTGTCTTGCATAAACATTTAAGGAGGTTTGCACAGTGCAACAAAATTGAAAAGCATTTGGGTTCTCTTATAACTGTTCTCAACTTACCCAGTGATACGAAGAATGATTATTTTGGAAGGACTAACAGTTAGTTTTTTAATGGGCAAAGTTATTGAAATAACAGCAGATCTAAGTGTCATTCAAATCAAATAATATTGAGCCTTTGTTGGTAATTTGATTTGATATGTAAAAGCAATTTTACTTTAACACCATCCAACATCAGTTCTAAACGAAATTTTAAAATAACATTACTAAAACTCAAAGTAATTATTTAACAACAATTCCACTACAGAGTTTATATCAATTAAACTGGTAACATTTAAGGTACTGAGAAAAAAAAAGGAGTCATTTGTCAAAATTACTGAAAAGAAAAGAAAGCTTTGTGTTTGGGAATATGGTAAAAATTATGGTCCCTGATTTGGATAATGTACAGAATATGTAAAAAATTAAATAAAAATTGGAGATTGAATCCAATTAAAGGACTGATAAGAATACAAATGACATAATAAATAAAATATTCCTGTTCAACACAAGTACTACTAGTATCTCTGATTTTACGAACTTGATTTTGTCTTCACAAAAAAATTTACATAGAGAGAACTTTAAATATAGTAGAAAATGTCTACACAGCAAAATCCATTTTAAAAATATTACTCTCTAGGAATTAGAAACTGTATCTAGATATCTTATCAATGTTAAAATTAAGATATTTACAAGATATTTCAAGCAGGTAAAAAATATTGATAAAAAATCTCAGGCATGTTAGGTTCTTAATTACAAGTGCTAGTAGATTTCTATTTCAAATTAATATCTGGTGAATTGTGATATGGTAAAATATCACTATTCCTCCCTATCCCACAAATTCTAAAAGTGCTAACTGGATAGCACTAAACCATGTGATAATTGGTTCCTTGGTTATTCTCCCGCAGATTAAATGTTTGAATTCGACCATGCTAGTGTACTACATAACAAAACTAAGACTAGGGAGAAACTGAATAGGAGAATTTTATCAACTTAAATACTACTTGAGACTGAATATAGTAGGTTGATTCAATCATATTACCTGGCCTAACAAAATCAGATAGCCCAAAATCAATAACTTTCATCGCGGCATTCTCATCTTTTGAGACAAAAAGAAAATTCTGCAAAGCAAAATATTCAGGGTGACAAGTTAAATGTGAGAAAGATAAATTTACAAACAAAAAATGGCTTATACTTCCTCTGGTTCATTTTAAAAGGCATATTTAACTTAATTACACAAAAAAATAAAAGTAGTTAAAGTTAATTAATTTTCATGATTTAAGAAAACATACCAAATCCCTAATTTTATCTTCATTTAATATCATTGAGTTTAATTTAAGTATCAACATTTATCTTTGATGGTTTTAATTGAGGTTTTCACTAACTCCATATATTAAAGGCAAATAGGAAAAGAAATAAACGCTGCATAGCAATTATAAATGATATATAGTAAGGAGTTAAGGATTACCAAAACCTTCTAAGAAATGCCTTACAAAAATGACTAGAGGAAGTACATTTAAGAGAAAAACCAATATATTCTGAGTAGTTCAAACTTCACAATGCCATACCTCTGGTTTTAAATCACGGTGAACAACACCTTGAAGATGACAAAAAGCAACTACGTCTAGAATTTGTACAAGAATAGCTTTAGCATCATCCTCTGTGTATCTCCCACCTCTTTAACAAACAATTAATATCAAAACAATAAAATTATAATCGTGTTATTCAAAGGTGAACTCCTGTAACAGAAGTACAAAGGGAAAAAACACAAATAGTATAAATGAAAAATAGCATTTCAATTATACCTATCTAGAATTCTGTCAAGTAATTCTCCACCCTCACACAACCTGACAAGAACAAAAATACCCCATTAATTCAGAATAAATGTCTAATTCAACATTTGCATGTACCTATACTACTGGGCTATAAAATCTGCCCATATTAAGGACATTCTCAGGAACACAAACTTGTGATGGATTTATTTATGCCCAATAACTTAAGAGAGATATGCATAAAAATCAAGCATTAAACAAAACTATGAATAAACTCTTAGCAACTGAAAGCAATTTTCAGAAATAATTGTTTCTACACATACTCCATAACTATGTAGACATTGTTGACATCCTCAAATGCATCATAAAATTTGACCAAATTTGTATGTCCAGATAAGGCCTTCAACATTTTCACCTCCCTCCGTACATCTTCAATTGCTATTGCTGAAGTCATCTGCCATATAACAATCAGTCAATTACAATAGCCATTATCAAAGCAAAACTTAAAAGGTGAAAATGACAAAAAAACTTGAAAATCAACGTTTGATTCATGCTGATGGATATCATAAACAAATTATGGAAGCTACGGCATCATCATCACAATACATAATTAATCCACCCAAAATTAGCATGAGAAGGACAGAAATATGGGGACAGCTTTTGCATACTCTTCCCATAAACACAAGCCATCACGGGCCAAGTAACTGAAATGAAAGTTTCCCGCTATCTGATGGCTGCAGGACTTGCACTAAAGGAACAATTCTTCAATAAGCTTCTGTTTGTACCATTCCTCCAAGATATTAATTTTCTTCTTCACCTTCTTTTCTTTTAAAGCATGTCTTCTGTCCTCCAATTTAGCTCATAATGAGGGATAAAAAACCAGGTTTGCTATATGCATTCTTTGATTTGAAATGAAGGTTTCACGCTATCTGATGGCTGCAGGACTTGCACTAAAGGAACAATTCGTCAATAAGCTTCTGTTTGTACCATTCCTCCAAGATATTAATTTTCTTCTTCACCTTCTTTTCTTTTAAAGCATGTCTTCTGTCCTCCAATTTAGCTCATAATGAGGGATAAAAAACCAGGTTTGCTATATGCATTCTTTGATTTGAAATGAAAGTTTCACGCTATCTGATGGCTGCAGGACTTGCACTAAAGGAACAATTCGTCAATAAGCTTCTGTTTGTACCATTCCTCCAAGATATTAATTGTCTTCTTCACCTTCTTTTCTTTTAAAGCATGTCTTCTGTCCTCCAATTTAGCTCATAATGAGGGATAAAAAACCAGGTTTGCTATATGCATTCTTTGAATTACAACTAGGCACCAAGTAACATAATGGGTCCTGTTCAAGTCTCCCACTTTCAAGGGTATATGACCATTGAACTTCATAACTCAAACAAAGGAGCTATAACCATTTAAACCATAACCAATTGGCCATAGATAGAACAACATTGAAATATCTATCGATGAGTCATAGTCCACACATATTGAATAACTTCAGCGAAAGCCACATCTCCAACAACATGCCCACACTACAGATGTTGAAACTTCACCTTTTGCTTACTTGTCCCACAACTAATAACAATTTCCACCGCCTATTGTTAAGAAATTTTTGCAATGCTCCCAAGAATTCAACTAAAGATAAAGCTCCAGTCGCAGCCAAATTGTTTGTCATTGTCGCTTATCCCAGAATTTTCCCTAAAAATAGGGCTAACGGACATAATAAATCCTGCAATGATTTGCATTGCATACTTTCCAGTTTCATAAATTCCTCCGAAAAATAGGTTCCATGGCACTTTCCTTTCCGGGACTACCATTAGCTTAGAAAATGACAACGATAACAGCAACAGTTAGTTTAACACTCTAAACCGGAAATCAACCTCAATCCTCACCAACAAAACCAGTTGCAAATATTGCACAACCACGACCTCAGGAGGTTCCAATTCCACAATAGAATTAGTATATCCATGCAGAACATATAGACAAAAGTAGAAACAAAGGCAAAATCAGCATCATACCATAACTATCCCAAAGAGCAGAATTGATATCCAAACCGAGTTCCCAAATCCAAAAATAAGCAATCAGTCAATCACTAATCACACGTTACATGTAGTATAGCACAACACACGACCAACTTAACATGAAATTCCAGTCCAAAAACAATGATGGAACATAAGAATTCACCCTGAATTGACCAAGAGTCAACGTATACCACCTCCAACTCCAAGTAAATTTTTTTTAAAAAATAAAAATCAAATTATCTCCACAATTAACCCTTAATATTCCAAAAAACTTACATATAAACATAACAAACCCTTAAACTCCCTCACCTTAGCTTTGGATATGATTTTCACAGCCACTGATTGTCCTTTGAGTTCACCCTTCTTCCCTTTGGCCCAACAAGTGTGACCAAAATGCCCACGACCCACTTCCTTCCCTAACTCAAACTTTGCCCCAAAATTCTTCCCATAACCAAAACTCTTATCAAGCGACCTCTCTCCGTCACCGACTTCTCCTTGCTCCTCCGGTATGGGCCCGTCCTTTGGCTTCGTCTTCCCCTGCCGCCGGAGCAGCGCCGCCATGATCGGCTTCGCCGGCGACGGAGGCGGAAGCGGCCACCGGAACTTTCTGCCGGGAGTCTTCGCCGGCGAGGGCGCCACGCCTGGCGGGAGAGGGCTCGGGAAGGGGCTGGTCGAGAACGAGTTGGCCGGAGTGTATCTCCCCGGAGTCGCATCGCTTGCGCCAGAGACAGAGTTGCCGGAAGGCTGCGCCGGCGACGATGTCGCCGCGTGAAGCGGCGGCTTGAAGCCTTGATCGGCGGCGACCGTTTCGTTGTTGACGGCAATGTTTTTGCTGCAGCAATGCCCCATGGCTGCCTAGGGACGGTGATCGGCGAAGTCAAAGGCTCCGACAAGAGAGAGAAAACGCCGCCGGAGAAATTGAGAAAACACTGTTTAGAGAGAGAGATATATAGAGAGAGAAAGAGTAAAAGTAGAAGAAGAAAAAAAGTGTTAAAATTGTAAGGTCAAAAAGAGGATTAATTTAAGCTTAATACGACACAGTCCAACTGTATTCATTTATGTGTGAAAGTAAATTGCTTCCTTCGTTGGTTGGATCCTTCATGCACCTTCATCTCATGCCTATGGGTTTTCCCATTTAAATATGAACATGCCTTATTTTTATACAAGAGTTTTTTCTTTATAATATTGTTTTATTTTTAAAAAATGGGAATAAAAGGGATTATTTGTTTATTTGTTTATTTATGCTTATATATGATTGGTATGTCAATATTATTATTATTATTATTATACCGTGTGTGAGAATGAGAAACATACACATATATGAAGTACTTGTTTTGAATGTTTCTCTTTGTGTAATTTCCATAAAGACTTGTTTGGCTGGCAAACAATGAGCGGTTAACTTTGTTTTTGGTGTCAAATAGAGGTAACCAAACCAGACAGTAACTATAACCTCGTAGGACAGGCGAATATACGAGGATTTTGCCAGGAAATGAAATCCCGTTGCTTGACATCAACTTACTATTCTTCGGTGTTGAAAACTTTTTCTTTGATTAAGGAATGGCATCGCAACAACATTGACGCTGTGCGTTTTGGGTCGTGAACTTTTTGTGTAGTTAATGGGGTTACACTTTTTTCTCCGCTCTTGTTGAGGTTGCCAGTTTGAACAAATAAATGATGTTATTCACTCACTGGTCAGGGTTTCAAATTGGGTTTTGTTGTTGTTGAACCACATTTATTGTAATATTCAACCGGGGGAAGACACTTGGATTTTGGAATCATCACAATCGAATTTTGCTATGTATCTATATTTTAGGGAACAGGGTTTTACGGGATGAGGAAATTATAAACTGAAAATTTTAATAAATGTTGGAAGTTTGTGTGTAACGTACCATTTAATACCCAAAATTCAAAATTTTTAAATTAGCATTTTTTAATGCCATCAAATTTCACTGACTTTAACCTTTCTTCTAGTTATAGTGAACACATAATGGCTAATTTTCTGCACTATGCTTATTCAATTTATTTCCAGATATGAGCATATATACATAATTCAATTTTGCAAATGGTTTCCGTGTGCTTACTTTTCCTATTTCTATTTATAGTCTTCTCAGCAAGGTTGACGAGAGCAAGTCTTTTTTTTTCTGGAACACACAAAAATATTGTCACGAGCATCAGAGTTGACTAAAATATATTTCGAAATTACGCTATCTTGTCATTGGACTTTTTCTATGGAATTTTACAAGTGTGATTTCTTTATATATTGTTTATTTTTATTATATGAAAAAGTATTTCACATGAGAGTGATATTTTGTTATATGTAATGTAATGTAAGAACGTATATTCCAAGATTTACTATATGCCTGTGGATAAGGTATATAAACTACTAAAAAAGTATTATAAAACTGCAATTCAATCGCACGCTATCAACGTTATGTTCCCTGCCATAAGTGAAATTAGGGCACTCTTAATAAGTGGCTTGGGATATTTTTTTAATTAATGAAATATAATGGAATAGATGAAATTTAACAATGGCATGAAAAATATCTTATTTTATTATTTAAATTGATAAATTCACAGTGAAATATTATAAAATTTAATAGAATTTATTTGATTCTATTTTATTACGGAATTAACTTGTTCTTGATTTGAAATAAAATAAATGAAACTAAAAATACAATTTCCAGTAAAATTAAAAAAATCTATAATATCTTTGTTGTTTTTTATTATTTCGTACGCGAGTCATGGTTGAATTATACACGTGGTTGTTTTAGTCTTATCATAAGTATCAAGTATTTTACTTATCTATGGTTTTTTTTTTTTATTAAGTGGTATTTTACTTTTAATTTAAGCGTGTGCTGAATTTTTTTAATATCTAAATATAAAATATTAAAATTAAAATAAATAAAAAAGTAGCAACAATTGTAAAGAAAAATATAAAATAATATTCTTACAGTAGTTTATGAAAAAATATTTGCTGGAATTGTTGTAATTTACATTGATTGACACGTAAATGACGTTTTTTTTAAAATGCATCACTTATATTTTAATAACAAGTAAAAATTTTAATAATATCCATATTTTAATTTAAAATGTAAAAATACTAGGTCAATTTAGATAATATATATAACTTAAATTAAAATACTTTATAAAAAATAAATATTATCATTTATTAATATATATATATATATATATATTAATCATTGTCAATTTGTCATCTGTTAAAGTTATATTACAGCACGTAAAGTATAAATGATTAAATTGGAAATCAATGTTTTAAAGTAAGAATACAAAAAATATAATTTATTATATTTTACTGATTATTTGAATAATAAATAAAATTTTTACTCCATTCAATTATAATATATCCAAACAAATAGAATTAAAAATATATTTCACTTAACTCTTTCATTTTAAGTCATTAATTTCTTTATATTTTATTTCACTAATCTAAACATAACTCTAATAATAAATTTAATAAATAAAAAGTATTAAAATTTATGATAAAAATGTGTTGATAATATTTTTAATAAAATTACATATTTTAATCAGAGTCCAGCATTTTGCCTTTAAATTGAGAATAAATATTCAGATTCGGCAGTAAAATAATGAGTTGAAGATTTTAATCTCTAATATCTTTAAAATGTACATGACTCCACGATCTCAATTATTAATTTAATATGTTTCTCAGCTTATTAACTCTGTAAACTCACCAATGCCTTTTATAAGTTTCCGTCTTTCTCACTGAACTTTTCATAAAATTTACTTTATATTGTATATTGCTTAAAATTAGTCTATTGAATTTAAATAATTTGGCACAATATATCAAATTAATTAATAGTCACAAAAATGTATAGCTTATCATTTATTTGCATAATTCTTCAGAGGAAAAACTAATATGACGTTTCTTTATTTCAATTTTAATAGTCAAATTTTAAATATTATTTAAAATAAAATGTTTCCACTTTAACTAGATAGTTGTAAAAAGATAGTATAAGGATAAAATATGTTTTTAGTTATTATAAATATTATTAATTGATTTTAAAATTTAAATTTTTTTATGTACTACACAAATTTTTTAAAACATGGATATGTTATTATTTATTTATGATATGTAATATATTTATATATGTTCTGACACTTGTTAATCTAAAATAATGATTAATGTGTCATTATCATGACATTATTAAGTGAAAAAAAAATCAAAATTTTAAAAATAAAAGTTATAAGCGATTGAAGATAGAGTGATTTTAGATAAAATTCAACAAAATGATATTTGTAATAAATTTTGTTGTTAAATTTTTTTTTTTTAATTTTACAGTTCAATTTAAAGTTTTATAATGTATAACAAATTTATAAAAATGTACATAATTTAACTATTAATTAAAATTTTATCGTCCCATTGCATTTTAATGAATAATATATTATTTAAAATAAAAATAAATTACTATTCATGTTTAAATTTAATGCACGTAATTTTTATAATAATATTACAAGAATAAATAACTAGATTGATAGAATAAATTTATGATAAAAAGTTATAAGATGTATATTTTATTAACCTTTATAAATATTAGAAGCATATCTAAACTAAAATATAAATTTATTTACGAACGAGGATAAGGAAAATATTTACCTTTTCGTATACTATAGATTTTGCTTAGACAATAACGAAATTAAAAATCAATAAACACCATTTTTAAAAGAGTGGATGGAGTAGTTGGCTAGGAAATGAGGTACGTGATTCTGATACTGTACTTCGAAATAACTCGGAAAACATACAACGTATACGCACCGCATCACCTGTGTTTATTTTAAGATAATTCATAAAATTAAAAAAAACTTATTTTAAGATTATATTAAAAGAAAAAAAAATGATGAATGCATGAGAAGTCGTATACTATAATAAAATTATTCTTATTTAAAATGACTAAAAAATGTTGTTATTTAAAAACAATTTTTAACATTTAATACATAAAAAATAGTTTAACTATAGGTAAATATTAACAAATGTTAATTAGTTAAAAAATTATAAGAAAATATTATTTAAAATATATTGTTAATGTAAGTTGTCTCAAAACTTATATTTTTTGCTAACGATACCTAGACTATCATTGCAGAGAGGCAATATCTAATGAAAGGAAATTCGCTCAAATACTGCACTCAAAGGGAAAACGCGTTTGAAAAACCCACGCGGTTTCGGTAGAATAAAGCAAGGTGGAAGCGTAAGCATGACGCAGTATAAATGAATAATACACTAAAGTAATATTTGAATAATACTACATTGTTTGCTCCAGTGTTTGAAAATGGAAGAAAAAAAAAACTGCATATAGTCAATAATAATATTGCTTTATAATGAAATAATATAATTAAATTGATTACAGTAAAACAATTTTAATCATTGAAACCTAACATGCCTTTCGTTATATCTAAAGACCGGTAATAATACAATATTAGTTAAATTTTAAAGTCAATTGAGTGTTTATTAACATATAAGTATGCTTATTATATTTTCTTTATAAAAAATTATGTCTGTATAAAACAATTAATAACTGTTAAGTTCAAATTTTACAATTCCAATTGATAAAAAGTAAAAAGGTGAGCCTAGTATGCAAAGTGCACCACGTCATCACTCGAGTGGGCCTAGTTGCTTTGTTATTTGCATCACTTCGATCTTATTTAAATCGTGCAGCTAAATCTTTGATAAAAATAAAAAGGTGAGCTAGTTTTTTCTGAGGAAGGTTTGGGAGAGATTTTTTATTTAAAATTAAAATATTAATTTTAAATATATTTATTTAAAATATAAATTCCTTCGTTTCCATCACTTACTTCAAATTTCAACTATGCTTTGTAGTTATGCATATAAAGTCTTTAACTATTTAAATTTTATCACTCGAGACTTGGACACCTTATTTATTTTAAAAGTAAAAGAATAATAATATTTGTGACATAAGGTTTTTTTATTATTTTAAATATAATTTTAAAGAATAAAAAATTAAAACAGGATCAAACAAGTTCTTAATTTTGTCAAAAAAAAAATTTTTTTCTCGCCTTTGTATAAATTATATTGAGAGTAGTTTTTTATCATATTAATATAGTTAATATTTGTTTAATAAATAATATTTTTTATCGTTTTAATAGCTGAAATAATATTTTTTAAATAAGTTAAATTTACAAAAATTCATAAAATTAAGAATATCTGACATTTAATTAAATAAATAATTTTAACATATAATATTCTTAAAATACAAATAAATTGTAAATTTAAATTTACACAATCACAATTATTTAATTTATCTAAAATATGATATAAATAGTTATTATATTATTCAACGGTTAAATTAATTAAATTTAATGCTTATAAAAATTATTAAAGAAGATAGCGTTGATAAGAGTTACTTGTAGAATAACTATATTTTGACTTTGTATATAAATTTATATTAAATATCTATAATATTAAATCATTTCAAATTTACAAGACATACAAAATTTTTTATTTTAATTTATAAATAATTTTACAATGAGTTATTTAATGACATTTGATGAATCATATTTAATATACAAATTATTGATATTCAAACTGGTATAAAAACCATTAAATACCGATTAATATTTTTACACCTTTAAATAAATTTATAATAATATTTATTAAAATATAATTTAAGACAATCATAAACATTTTAATGTTTAAATTTAATGAGAATCTAAATATTTTTTAAAATAATTGTATAAAAAATTATATCATCATTTAGTGATGAACTGATGTAAGTATAAATTGTTAACTTTTCTAATATTTAGTTTAAAAATTGTATCTATGTTGTATTTTAATTATTTTATAGTATAAAAATAATCATACCGACAATATATTAAATTAAAACTTTTATCTTATTATTGACACATTTTAAAATAATTAACAATGTTAAAAATATCACTTGTTTTATAAATCTGTACACATATGGATGCAAAATATAGATTGGAAAAATAACTTGATTTATTATTTTCTTCAATTATTGGTCAATATGTATATAAAATACTTTTAGTTCTGATTTAAAAATTATAAAAGTATAAACAGAACTTATATTATAAAACAAAATTCATATACTACTTTTGTCTAATCATTAAAAATATATTTAAAAAAGTACTACTTGAAAAGTGATGATTCCCTTTATTTGTTGAATCGTCTAGCATGATAAAAATCATTGGTAGTAATCATTACTAAGTATAACCCACATCATCAAAGGGAATTCAGGGTAATATTTATGCTGATAATTTCTGTCTCCTTCTTTACTCTCTGTTTAATTATTTGAATTAACAAGCTTAAGATACAGTTTTACTACTAATTTATTATTTTTATAAAACAACTTTCTAGATGTAAAATCTAAATTTTCTAATTTAATCAAATAATTGAACAAGACATATATTGCTGCACAATCTTACTGGTTTTAAAACATTGCCTTTATCTAAGCACTTGGAACTTGCAATTTTCAAAGTTAGGAAAACACAATTCGAGGTGAAATGAAATACAAGGTTTGGAGTTATTTAGTGACATCATATATATATATATATATAAGTGCGTTTATTATTATTTTCAAATATTTATTATTATTAAGTATTTTTTTTATCTAAAATGTTGTTTCTTTTAAAACTATATCAATCATACGAGTATTTTTAAAGAAAAAACTATCTTGACAATAAATGTATGAAAGTAATAAGAAATATTAAAAAATTATATAAATACGGACGTTAAAATACTATTTAAAATTATAAATTCTTACTATCAATATGAATCTTCACTTAAAAATTAATAATCTTATTATTCATAATCCCAAAATCAACGTCAAGGTTTCAAAAACTAGGGATTGATGCTAACAGGTTCGTCCGTATTAAAATAGTACAAAATATAACATATATTACTGTATTATTATTTTTGGAAACGAAAGTGTAATTTTTAAAAATGTGCAAAATGTAATTTAAGAATGTGTTTAATAAAGGAATATAATTTATGAACTCGTATATACAAACTAAATAATAACCAACACAGTATTATTTTATATTAAATAAGTATATAAAATATTGATACCACGTAATAATGAATTGATTATTATATTTGCTCAACTTGTATAAATACGTCTCTGACAATTATATGTCTAGCTTTTTTTAAATCTAAATTAAAGCATTATAGTATAATGAAGTTAAGTTTTTTTACTAGATTTTTTATATATACAAGAATTAAAATCAATTATTTTTAAGAAAAACAAAAATTTCACTTGAACCAATGACACATTTTTAGAGACCATCACACAATTTATTAAAAATTTATTCATTGGTTTTTTTTTTTGGGTCTGATTGCATTCATTAAATTAAATGGGTCATGGGAGCTTAAAAAACTGGGCATGACTAAAACGAGAGCGTATGATGTGGCCCAAAAAAACGGAGAAGAAAGTATGATCCACGCGTTTGCGGGAAGCGTGAGGCAAAGAGATGATATCTAAGTAAAAGTATGGAGTGAGAATGCCCTATAAATGGCGTTCACGCCGTGCCGGTCGAAAATTGTCGCAACCAATCATCCGTTTATTCACTCTCTTCCTCACTCTCTTTTGATCCCTCCAAAAACCCTTTCCCACCCCAATCCCCTTCTCTTCTTCTTCTCCTCTCCCTCCCAATTCCCCTCCATACAATTTCTTCAATTCTAGGGTTAGGGATTTCCTCTTCTTATTCCCTCTTTTCACTTTTTCTCTATTTTTCTTCATCACCCTGAGACTCCCTCGCCCCACTCGCTGCTGACGTGGTCGCACCCTCGCCGCTTCTCATTCTATGGAGGCCACGGCCGCCGTTTCCGCCGCCGCCACGGCCGCCGTTGTTCGGGGCGCTTCTCTCCAGATGCCACCACCGTCCCGCAAAGAGTGGCGCGCTGTTGCCGAGCATCATCATTCCGCACGAAACCCCGACGACGAGGTACTGATTTGGCGTCCAAACACTTAGCATTGTCTCATTGTGTGGTTCGGGGAATGATGGAGAAGACGAGTGTTTTCAAACTTAGTTCTTACACAATGAATTGGGATTAGGGTTTAATAATGTCGTTTGACGCGAGTCAGTGCTTTTCCTTCTTATGTTCTTTTAAGGATTAGGCGTTTGTGAGTTTTCTCGGTATTAAGTTTCGGAAAAAAAAAATGTCAAATGGTGTGGGCTGAAGTGGATAATGTGGCTACTAGTTTGATTATACTTGCTTCCCCAGAGTTTGTTTAGTGCCTATGCTTTTTCTTACTGAGATTCAATTACCATACGAAGTGATTGAGATTCGGTGTCGAGTCTTTTGTTTATTTTATGATCTTTCTTTTGCAGAGGCCTCTATGGTTTTAATATTTGATTCAGGGGAAACTCCTACTCTGTTTATCGGGCCCAAGTCTTATTTAATGCTTTGTTGTTGATGTAAACTGCAAAGCATATAGAATGTGCATATATATTTTTTTTTAGTCAAGAGACTTAGTTCTTTCAATTATATTTGAATAGAGTGGCTTTTATAGGCAGGGTAATTTAACCCAAGCATTAAAACTCTGAGCCTTAGTCAAGTGAACAACATGATATGCTTGTCCCCAAAAGTTAGTCTGATAAGTCAATGTTAGGTGGAATGTACCTCATTTGATGTTGTTAAAGATTAAGGTTGTGGCCTTGCTGGGTTTGAACTTTTGATTTTGTCAACGGACTTGAGGTTGTTGATGTCTAAGTATTCAAGTTTTGATTGGTCATATGTCTTTGAATGTAGTAAAGGGGGCCTTAAAACATTCATCTGTTTTGTTATTTATTTGGTTGGTAATAGACTTCTGCTGATGTGCAGGAATTAGAAAACACCAAACTAGGGCAGTCAGACGAGAGAACCATATATGAGGTAAGGTGATGGCATGAGAAGCTACTCTTTAGTACCAAGGAATTAAGAATCTGAAGATGATTTCCTCCTGTTTTTCAAGGTGCAGCAAGGAAGAGAGCCTCTTGATGTTGATTTTTGTTCAATAACAGTGGATGGAACATTGGACAATGATATTTTGCAACAACAGATTCATAATATTGTTAGACAAAGACAGGAACTAATGCAAATGGAGATTGAACTAAAAGCTCAAATGATTGCTAGAACTGAGATAGTGGAAATGCGAAACACCTTTGATGCTCAACTCAAGGAACATGCTAATAATGCCAGCAAACTTCAGGTGTAAATTCAAACATTTTATTTGTGTATTTGGACTTTCAATCTCATCTGATCTATCCCCAGCTTTTGAAAGAACATGGATTTTCTCTGATTTTACATGAACAACATGGTTTTAGAAATTAATTGTGCCCTTTTACGATAACAGCTAGTTGACTATGTAAATTTCTATTGATATGATAGTTTGGTACATCGGATACACTGTTTTACTTCTTATGGCTGAAGGGACAGTTTTTTTTATCTAAATATCTGGTTTAACTTACATTGTAGTCTACTCTAAAATTATTTAACTGGCCTTGCAGGAGCAACTTTGTGAAAGGGAACACACAATTCATGAGCTGGAAAGGAAAATGGAAGAGAAAGACAGAGAGCTGCATGCTATTAAATTAGACAATGAAGCAGTCTGTTGAATTTCTACTTATTATTTTAATTTTAATTTTACTGGACCTTTATTTTGTTGGTATTTGCTATTTAATTATATTCTAATCTCTTCAATTATTATTTTAGGCATGGGCTAAGCAAGACCTTCTCCGTGAGCAGAACAAAGAACTAGCAACATTCAGGTTTTTCTTTTGTCCAAATGTATCTATTGGATGTTAAGGTTTTGGATCTGTCCCTCTTTACATGCTTACAGTGGTAAAACCTTTTGCAGAATGGAGCGTGATCATTCAGAAGCAGAAAGAGCTCAGCATATAAAGCAAATACATGATCTGCAAGAACATATTCAAGAAAAAGATAGGCAGCTTATTGAGTTGCAGGAACAAGTAGGCAGCCTATATCAATATAATTTGTTTTTATAAGAACTTACTTAAAAACTTGTTGGTTTATTTGGTCTAATGATGATTCTTTATTGCAGCAAAGAGTTGCACAGGAGACTATCATGTTTAAAGATGAGCAGTTCAGAGAGGCCCAAGCATGGATAGCTCGAGTTCGCGAGATGGATGTTTTCCAATCAACTACAAATCAGACTTTACAAGCTGAGTTGAGGGAGCGCACAGAGCAATATAACCAGCTCTGGATGGGTTTTCAGAGACAGGTTGATCTGCAATTCTTTTTTGCTTAAAGGATTAAGCTGATTTGCTTTTATACCCTTATAAATGCATTTTGTTTTAATGTGTCTCTGTCAGTTGTACCCTAATATAATGCATAAGCTTTTTTTTAATCCCTCTCAGTATGGTGTTTTAGTTTAATTACTTGATACAATAATGGATGCTACTTCACCCTGTTTAATTTTTGCTTTTATGGATGGCTTTAGTTTACAGAGATGGAGAGAGTTCATTTGCATGCTATTCAGCAACTACAGCTTGAGCTGGCTGATGCAAGAGAGAGGAGTGGAACGTACAATGATGATTCAAGAATATCCCAAATGAATTCAAAAAATAATGTTACTCAGTTTGGACAGGAAAATGGAAATCAATTTGACTTACATGGAGGCAATGCTTCAGGTGGAAATACTGGTCTCCTTCCAAATGAAAGCTCTGATAATGTTTCACCATTTGCATCTACAGGCAATGCATCAATCCAGGTTGGGTGCTTTAATTAATAGCTTGATAAATAAACAGCTAGTTGTTTAGTTGGTTTTATTCCCAGAATTTTAATTTGTGGCATGCTGTGATGTATGCCTTATATTTATATTTCAATTTTTTTTAATGAATGTCAATTAAAATCTTAATGCTGTTACTTATGAATGACTGTAATGCAGTGCTGCATGATTTTCATCAGGCATTTAAATGCTAGACAAACATGTTCTATGCTTTCATTGTATTTTCTTTTTATTGTTATAGATTTAGTAAATTATTTTCTTGCATTTGATACATGCAAATCTTTCCCAATACTTAACTTGGAGCTTTTACAATGTTTCTATTTTCATTAAAATTGTATACTGTTGGTGCGCCATTAAAATACAAAGATCACTTGGGTAGAATTTTAGATACCAACATTAGATTGAAAAGGTGTTGACAAATGCAGTTTGTTCTATAGTTCTGTTGGATTTACATCATAGAAAAAACTCCAGGTACAACATTTGATGTTCATGGCAATGAAAAACCATATTGATTTTAGCATGACGTGTTCAATTATCACAGTTCATTTGAAACATTCTTTAATCATACTGGGAAAGTTATAAGATCTTATTGGTTCTTCAAGTATGAATCTACGTGGATACATATACTAGGATAAACTCATTGCTAATGACAAAGTTGATTCTATGAAACCAGTATCTACTCTACTTTTTATGAAATCAAATATTTTTCCAGATTGTCAAGTGGTAATACTTGTGCGTTTAGCTATATATACCTTTTAACTGGTTGTACGATGTGACAGTCAACTTGTTTTCTTTGTGCTCTTGATTAGACAACAATATATCTTATCCCTCTTGTAATTTTTTGTCATTGTTCTAGACTGATCATGTTCCTGGTGTCCCTATTGCTCCATCGTCTCTGCTTGTCCCACCATCATATCTCCCACATGGTCAAGTAACTGCATTGCATCCATTTGTTATGCATCAACAAGGAGTGCCCAATTCAGTTGCACCACATGTTCCTCAGTCACATGCTGGACATTTTCACCCTGTGCCCTCAATGTCTCCTCTGCAGCAGTGGCAGAATCAACAGGTATCTAAAGATTATTTAATCTGTTTGCATTGCTGTCTGCGTTTTAGCTGTCTGTTTATTTATAGTTGTTTCTTCAGTCTGTGTCAGACAGTTCAAAGGTACCCATACAGGATGACCCATCATCATCCCAAAATGATCAAAATTTGATGAGATCCGATGCCAAGTTTAATTATGAAATGTCTGTTAATGGACAAACTCTTCATAGAGACTATCTGGATGCTCACATCTGCCAAGGGGAGGAACCACAATCTGTGATTTCATCAGCTACCAGTGAAACACAGGTTTTATAATTAATGATTGTTATTCACTTTGTATATTTCACTTCCCTTGCTATTTGTGTAAAACATTCATGATAATTTGAATTTTTCAAAGGTTCTTCAGTCAGTAGATAAAGGTCAACTTGTTACTTCCCAACAAGATCAAAGCTTACAACTTTCATCTCAGTTCTCTGATGCCTTACGATTGAACTCGTTTGAACCAAATGGTGAAATTAAGGTTTGTTCGAAGTTCCAACTTTTCCCTCCTGTTTGAAATTTTTGTTGTTTTGCAATTCTACAAGGTTAGTTAAGTTTTTACATTTGTAATTGTTTGAAGATGGCTAATTATTTTAGGGCACATTCATTAACTAAAAATACATTGTGGCTTATAAAAACATGTTTGAAAAAGCACCATTTGATAAACTTTATTTAATTTGAAGTGCATGGTGATCTTAAGCTGCTAAAAATTCAAATGTGGATGCATTCTGATTCATTCTAAAAATCAAATTACTTTAAAGACACCTTAGTCTTTTTAAATAAGTTGCTTTTGTGAAATTTACCAAGTATTTTCAATTTTTTGTGTCAAGGAGAGTGTTGAATGAAAGCACTTAACAAAGGCAATTCAAAAATTGTCTTTGATCTGGTGGCTATTACAGCTGAGGATATGAAAGCTAATATTTTGCCTTCTTCAGGAGCAGAATTCTGTGACGTTATCCAATGATGGACCTGAGGATCATGTTTTATTGGCTGAGCAAACAAGTTCTGCCGCAAATGCATCACCTGTCACAAGCAACCATTCAGTTAATCATAATGAAGTGATTCAGAACAATTCTACTGATTCTGTCTTACCTGAAACATTCACCACTACTGGGCAGACAGCTACCATGACAATTGCAAAGACTTCAGAGACTGTTCTCCTTGATGAGAAGTCATTGTTAGCTTGTATTGTTCGCACCATTCCAGCTGGTGGCCGAATTCGAATCAGTTCAACGGTTAGTGAGCTTTAGATGTCAACTTTTGGGTTTTCACAAAAAATGGCTTTTTTTTTCCTCTCATGTAACTTGTGTTATGTTTCAAACAGCTCCCTAACAGGTTGGGCAAGATGCTTGCACCTCTACATTGGCATGATTACAAACGAAAGTATGGGAAGCTGGATGATTTTCTGGCTAGCCATCCTGAAGTAAGTTTTTAACAGTTTGAATGTGTAGATTACAAAGTATTGCTTACATCCAGATATGATTAGCTGTAATTTTGATGGAATTCAGCTGGATTATTGAAAGGATGGTTGTTGGAACTTTGGTGGAATAAAGTGGTAGGAACCACTCTTCCAATGAAAACTCAAAAATCATCCCAACTCATTTGGTCAAAGCTTCTTGCTGTTTAGCCATTTTGATTTAATCATCTATTTGTGCAAGTTCCTATTATTTACTGGCAATGGATTTCCATTACTGCCTGACAGTTTCTTCTTTTTATTAATTTCAGTTATTTTTGATTGAGGGTGACTATATTCAACTTAGGGAAGGTGCTCAGAAAATGGTTGCTGCAACTGCAGCAGTTGCCAAAGTTGCTGCAGCAGCTGCAGCATCATCTCCTTACTCTACATATATGTCCACTGTGGCAGTTACTCCTATGGCTCAATCTCATCGCTTGAAAAAGGCTCCTTCAATTGATTCCAAAAGTATAAAAAATGACAAGGCACTTCAGGAATATGCAGTCATCTCTTCAAATATGGGTGATGATCCTCTAAAATTGTCAGTTATGCAGCATCAGCAATCAAATGGTGCATGCTTTGGTGCTGCTGGTCTTTCAAATGTCAAAATTTTAAGTAAACCTAAGGATTCTCGGGAAATGGATGGCCCTGAAAATAGGGTTGTCCAGTCTTCTGTACAACTAGCTGTTGGCAATGGGGGAAGCCTTGACAGATCAAGTATTAACAGTGTTCAAATTTCAGGCTCAGCAAATGGGAGGCTAGTCTCAAACTTCGCTTCTAAACAGCAGACCAGGTATGACTAAAGCTTTGCTGAATGAAAAGATCTTTTATGATGTGATTGTGTCTCCATGATGAGATATAGAGAAAGGGAAGTGTGCTAACTGTTAGTTTATGACAGGGCAACTGGTGCTGTGTACCCTTCTCGAAGATAGTGAGTGAGTCTTCTTACTGGCACTTCAATTGTTATTTATCTTTCCTTTGAATTTCCATGGACCTGTTGAAATGTTTATGTTATTGCATGCTTCCATTTAGCATGGGCTGAGAGCTAATGTTTTTTTTCTCTCTTATTTATGCTATTGCTGATTAGTTTTTGGTTTATTGGAATAAACTCCCATCTCGATTATCCCTAACCCGTTGCTATTGTGTTATTTAGTGTTTGAACATGTCCACCAATGTACCACGTATTTAATTTTTTTTAGTCCTTGTAATAAATTTTAATTTAGGATTGTCATTTGTATTGTATATATTCATGTTAATGCATGTTTTTGTTTTTGTTTTATTTGTAGATTTCTACTTTAGTTTATCAATACACGGAAGTATTATGAAATCTTGAAAATAGTGTGATTTTAAAGATTTATATTGCCATAATACAAAAGTTTATTACAGAATGCAAGTTTGTGGTATTTCTAAACAGTATTTGCCGCGAGTCTCTTGGAATCTGATTTAAATAGCAAGTGTCAGTCGTGACTCATGTTCCATTTCGATTCACTTGCAAATATTGTCTTGTATTTGTAATTATTATTACTGTTTATATTAAACAGGAACATGGAGGGGCGTGTAGATTATCCTATCTCACCAGGGTGCCGATGGAAAGATACATGGTGATGTTTATAGGGTTTGTGGGAGAAAGTTTTTTGAAGCATTGACGGGAGTAATTTTGTGCTCCAATCATAAAATGATTTTAGTTATCGGTGCTATCTCCAGTTTCTATAGTAATTTATTTCTCCCTGCTGTTAACATTTCGGTGTGCTTTCATTAATGTGGGCCTCATGCTGTTATATTCTTGCATACATTGCACTGGTAACTGCGATTTTTTTGTGAATGCTTGAAAGATTAATCAACATAGTTAACCTTTTCCGTTTGCAATCTCTTTATTTCCCCATTCGATTTTAGTGATTCAATTTTTGTCTTGTCAAGATCCAAGGATGGATTCATAGCTCGACACTACCGGTTGCATTTTACGAGTAGTGTGCGCATTCAATTAAAGGTACCTGGCTTCTCCGGGATTATTGCACAACGTCTACAAAATCCATGTTTAAAAACCTAATCTTGAAGACCACTTTACTGCGTGTTCTCACAAATTTTACTTGTTTTGAGTTTCCGTTTCTCTCCAATTTAATGAATTGATACGTAACTCTTCGTTATCGATTTATTTAGAGCTTGTTTGTATTTGGATGATATGGAGCACACACTTGACGAGACGGTCTCGGGGTAAAATATTTTGAATTTTCCAGAAGGTTGAGACGCAAAGTAAATATGCTCTTAATTGTAGACTTGGTTTATAATTTCTTGTATCATTTTTATCAAGTTTTCAAATTTAAGTAATGAGATTTTCTTAAAGAAAATTGCAACATGTTTTCAGTGGGAATGGTTTTGAAAAAATAAGTCAATTTTTGCCCCTTAATTGATGGGCATTTTGAGCAATGTTCAGCATTAACCCCCGGGATGACTCTTGGATTCATTGAACTGGTTTAAGATTGAATGAAATCTGCACGACTATATATGCGTTTTGGGAGAGAAGAGTTCTCCGTCGAGCGTCGCCATGTATTAAAATGTTAGCATAGTAAAGGAAAACTTAAATTTGAGTTCTAAATTTGATTTTAATTCTCTAAACACGCAAGTAATTGATTGTTTGTTTTTTTGTTTTTTAAGAGTTTTTTCTCTTTAAAACTTTGAAAAAAAATGTTCGTTAATACATAAATTTTATTTTCATTTTCTTCTTAATCTTGGTTTTATTGTTCCAGGCTTAATGGTTGGTTTCAGTTAGTACATTAGAACCGATATTTACAAAACAAAATCCATGGATAAAAACAAAGTTGCTTGACTTTCATGACACGTTGCAGCCATTGTTTATTTTTCGCTGCAGGGGAGACCGATTTTAACTTCTAGCAGTAAAGTAAACAGAGCCTAATACATGTTTAAGATGACTTAATTGAAGTTAACTCTATTAAAAAATCTTACTTTTAATTAATTTGAGTTAGAAGTCAAATATATGTCTTCAGATGCAAATTTTTTTAATTTTAATTCCTCTGAAGTCTAACATATAAAGTAAAAGGTAAAAATATAATAAATTTAAAGTGTGTTTAGTCCATGGTATAACTTAATTCAAATTAACAGAAAATAAACCTAGTTTCTCATTTTGTACATCTTACTTTAGAAGACCAGCATGACTTTATTTGCCTCTGATTCACGTACCTTTCAACATTTTACTGATTCTTCTCCTTCAGGGAATAATCTTATATCCTTTTATGATATTTTCTTATTAATCTTCTAAATTTGTTCTAAATAAAAAATAAACATAAAATATTTCATATTTTCTTTATTTATAAGGATATTAGTAGGAAGGTATTACAAGAAAATTTAAAATTATTTTTCTGACAACGTACAACAGTTTGAGTTGGATTGAACATTGTTAACCGAGTTGCAAAAACCAAAAACAAAGGCGGACAAGGTATATCCAGTGCCTAAAATAAATTCTAAAATGAGGCTCATTTTAAATTAAATAAAAAAATTAAATTCTTTAAATTTTATTTATTTATTTTTTGGATATTTAAAATTAATTATTAAATTATTGTAATTATTTTAGAAAAAAGAAGAATTATTGCTGACCTATATGCCTTGTAGATTTAAAGATGAGCCTCAATTGCATATTGCCAGATAAGAGCAAACCTACATTTAATTCGCTTCAACAACAAATTTAAAATTGTTTTTTTTTATAAAATCATTTATTGTAAGATTGATTATAACATCTTGTTGTTGTGTGTACTAAAACTATTTTTCAGCCGATAGTCGAAGATTAATTCATTTGAAACGTAAACATCATTAAAACAAATTTAAGTTTTTCAATAAAGTCTTTTACATATAATTTCTGTTAACATGTTTAAAAAATACAACTATCTACTGTCTGCATTGAGCTCGACTTCAAAGTGGACTCAAACAATAAAGCACTCTAAAAACGCACTTTTACTCTTAAAAACCGCGATTGTTTGTTTCTTAGGGCTATCCAAACTTTAAAATTCAAGCCTCGAAATAGGCAAAAAAAAACCTTATTATTAGCATGTTCAAATAGATTATTATTATCAGTTGACCCCCCCCAAAAAAAGATTATCATCACATTTGTACCTATTTTATTTAATATTATATAAAAATATGTTTAAACCGTTAGATACGATTAAAATAAATAAACATATTAATTTAAGTCACTTTTTTTATTAAAATGTTTTCCATTATGATGTACAAAAATTAATTTTCCTAACTGTAAAGCATGAAAGCCCACCGTAAACATTTTTATCATTCAAACAGGTATACCGTGCACCTACTTCATGTCCTTTAGCACTCCAAATCATTAATACTTAATAGTAATTTTTCCTGAAAAAGAATTCCCTAGAATTGAAACTGCAACTTTCAACAATAAAATTATTAATTATATGCCCAAATATTTGAATTTTACTGAACCGAATTTTCGACTGGCGGGAAAGGAATAAAAAACTGCACCAACATTATGAAAAGAAATTAAAATAACAGTTACTCCGACGAAAGCAAAATGCAATTTTCGTTTTTATACCAATCATTCAGTTATAAAACGTAATAGCAACTGATGCAAGTAAAATGCATTTGTTTGTATTCCCACTATTTCACTCTGGGTTCAGACAGTGATTTCCTTAAGACCAAGGACCAAAATCTGAGCCAATCTGGTTGTTTGATGGCGTATCTGAGCTATTGCCAAGTCTTGTTTGAGATCCCTGAATCTGATATATGCCACTATTGTTTGCAGGAAAGCTACCCATTTGTCCAGGGATAAGTTGGTGTTGTTGGAAGAAAGATGGCACCTTATGGTTCTGTTCATTCATCTGAAAAGGCAACTTTGAAGTAGAAATATCAGGTTGATGTAGAGATGTTCCAAGATGCTGTTGCTGATCATTTATATCCAAGGTCAAGTTCATGATAGAGTGATCTGGTTGTGGCTGAGACACTGGAATATGAGGTTGCTGCATGCCTTGCCCCTGTTGCATACTAGCCTGGCATGAGACCTGCACATTTTTCACGAGTGAGGAAAAGTTAAAATTACAATAACCTTGGCTGTTAATGAGCTAAACAACCTGAGAAGGGATTTGCGCTTGAGGCCCTGCATCCGCAAGTTTGGCTAGAAAAGTCAAGTTGTGCTGAAGCTTTGCTTGATATCTGTGCCAGTTTCAGCTATTAGTCATAAGCCACTGCACTAGTTTAATTATTATTAATGAATAGAGAGAAGGCAACAGCAATGTTAAGTTGACACATGATACTTCCAAGATAAACAATTCAAATATAACATCTTAGAATCACTCTAACAAAAAGATAATTTGGAACAACATTATATAGTTTTCAATTTGTGATGCAACTTTAATAATATACTTTAATGTACAAACCAGTAAAAATATAAGAATCTCGAGCACTTTTCCAATTTATTTAAAAACTGATATACAAGATAGAACAATCAAGTTCCACAGGTGGAAATCAGCTTATGGTACATGATTCTCAAGATATGCATTAATAATTAAAGAATAAAAATGCAGCCCTAATTACTTGTTATGATCATTTATATATTTCTGTCTTCCCATTATTTATGATCGTGTCAGATACAGACATGTCCTCCATTGGCTCAAAATTTCTCAGCTTCTTCTACACAAAGCACCTCAGTTTAAGTATGTTTATTCTTTTCATGAATAAATTCAAGTTTAGCATCTGTTTCGGCTATTATATTTCTCAAAGATGAGTTCTGTATAGCGCTGTCCTTCTAAACTGACACATATTTAACCAGATGAAGCCAAATATCTACACCACTGCATGGATATCCATAAACAAGGTACAAAAGAAAGAAACATTATTTCTATTATGTACAAAGGTTCATTCCCTGTAGTTATTATACAATTAAATGTTGGCTTCATACAGAAAATAGATTTTTTTTACATGCTGTTTCCCTGTTTACACCATATCCGAGTTTCTCTTTACCAGATTGAGATTATATGTGCTTTAATCTAAGGCATGTAACTTGGTAGTCCTGGCTTTTCAAGTGTAGGCATGTCTTGCAATTTGTCAACTAAAACAGAGCTCACAAATGCATGTGCTAATAGCCTTACAAAGTGAAATATAATTTCAGGTAGAGAAAAACCAAGCAGGGATGATGTGTTTATGTAAACTGTAAAGTAGAGGGTTTCTGAGCTAACTGCCATAGACAGCTTAACGGTATGCAAGAGAATGAAGAAGTAAAGAAAAAAGGCTTTAGAGGCCCATGGCAGAAACTTAAAGAAAGTGCACCTGAAACCACTCAGCACTACCTAGAAACAACAATAAGCAATCAAATATAAATGAAGGAAAGTAACTTTGGCTACTCACTGTGCAATCTCAGCGAACTTTCCGAGTCTTTGACATTCCATAATTGCCAGGATCAGCTCCTTATTCTCCTCCAAGTACTGCACCAAGTATAACAACTGGCTTATAAGAGCTATACTGAGATACATAATCTAGTAAACTTTGCTTCAATTAAAGGTCCTAACATTTTACCATAATGGAATATTGCATTATGAATTCATCTAACTTTCAATCAACATACATACACACAACAAAATGAACTAGCATTCATCTGATTTTTGAACAAGCCATACACACACGCGCCACACTCATTTGGCAAAAGTTGATACCCCTTATTACCAACGACGAATATGCATATTATGAAATGAATTCGATATAAAAAGTTCACATAGAGAGAGTGATACATCATTCTTTATCCAATAAATTATACAACTAACGTTATCACGTACATTCCATTCAAGCAATGTGGAAAATTTAACAGAATCTGAAATCAAGATTAATAACTTAGGGTACAAGGAAAGACAAGGAGGAGAGTCCCATGCACATTTGGTGCCATTTACTAAGAAAGAAAAAAGGAACAACGTGAGAAGGTATCATTTTTATGAGACCCCATAACGAACATAGGTGCATAGATAAATCTAGAAGGTTAAACAAGGTAATAAGAGAGGGGCAATGAAACAGAGAAATGGATCAAGAAAAAAATAAAGTATGCACCTTTTGAATCTGCTCGGTGGTAAGGGTAGGGACAGGGGGGAATGAAGGATCACCGTTGAACATTTTGCTTCTTCTTCTTCTTCACAATGGGACACCAAATAACAAAAATCCAATTAAAAAACCCTAGCTCTTCTTCCTTACAAGCACCTTTTTCAAGTTCAAATGTGCAGTGTCTACTACTTTTTGTGATGTGTTTTTGGGTTATATAAACGACTCTTCTCTTTTCATGCGTTTTGGTTTTAAATAAACATATAAATTAATCATTTAGTTATTTTTTATCAAGTTTATATTTATTTATTAATTTTAGTTTTCTTTAATTATATTGTTAATATATTATCACATTTGTGCAATTTTGATCTTTTAAATTTTTTAACTGATTAATTTTTTTTATTTTGAAGTTGTACAAATTTAGTAATTTTATCAAATTTTTCTAACTAAATCTCTCAAAATATTATTTAATTAAAATCTTAAGATATTAATTTAGTTAAAATGTTTTAAACATTTTTATTCACAAGACACATCAATAACTAACTATATCCTGTAAGAACGTAAGTTCAAATTACACTATCTTGAGAAAACATGCGAAGTATTTTTGTAAGTGTTCTGTGATCATACCCTCACCATGTTGAGCTTTTTTTTTAATTCAACTCATATAAACTTTACAAAACTTAAAAATAAACACGTCAATCCAAATATTTAATTTCATATAACATGTTAAAAATAATTTAAAATTATTTTCTAAACAATTTTTAAAATTTTTCTATTTTTTTACCTTTAAATATTTAAAATTATTTTATATAATAAATTTGTTATAAATCCCTCGACTATTTAGACAAAAATAATAATTTAAAGATTTAAATTAGTATAAAATCATTAAAATATCAAAATTGCCTAATTTAAATAATAAAAAGGACTTAATTAATTATTATTTTTTAAATACAAATAAGTCACACTAAACAGACAATTAGTCCTTTTATCTAAATTATTATTATCGTATAAGTTTTTATGTTTTAAATTTTTTTAGCAATTTATTCTTATAACCAATTTTCTAAATTTTTTTTAAATATTAATGTCTAATAAAAAATTTGGAAAATGAAAAAATAGAACTTAAATAAATGAAAAATAATGGAAATAAAATTTATTCAGTGCATGAATAGTTAAAAAATTCCCGTTTACCGTGTGTACTATAAACAGGAGAAACACATAAACTGCAGTAAATTTATTTAAATAATATTATTTATAAAATAAATTCTCGAAATAGATTTATTTTAAAACATATTTCCTGTCTGGGCTAATTTTTTGCCAGGTCAGCAGCTGTCTCATACCTGCATGGCCGATAGCAATTTTTTAATATTTTTTAAATACTCTATCATTCCAGAATGTCTGATACAGCTTTATAAGCTGACACGTGGTGGCGTATCTGTCAAAGAAGAGTTATGTGAAGGAACAACTTGGATGATGACACGTGGCGCCTATTAGATGTGTATCGCCTGGTCAAGGACGATAGCATTATCGATGGTCAATGGGCGGCTAACTTATCGAGGGTCAGAGTGCGAGACATGTGGGGACTTGACACGTGGCAAGAACTGATGGTCATTTACTCCCTTGTCTAATTTTAAAGCGCATATATATACACATTTGTATTTCTGCAATTGCCGTTCCTTGAAATCTTTAAGCTGGTGGTAGGAAAAACTGCACAAAGAGTTTCAATTCAGGTTAGTAGATTTGTGCTTTTAATTTTTTTTTTGAAGAATTTTATTTATATGTAGTTTATTTATTACCTGTATAGTAATTTTTATGTTAGTTATTTAAATGAGATTGAGTTTTGTTAATTAGTTGTTAAATAATTGCATTAATGTGATAGAAATGAGTTTAAATAAAAAAAATTATGGGTGAATAATAATAATATGTAAAAATAATTAAATTTTAATGCATACAACATTAAAACAATTTAATAATGCATATACAAATATGTTTTATTCAATTTATGTTGATAATTAACTTTTAACATAAACTTTATTGTGTTATTTTAGCCAAAAAAAAAAATAATGATTGATATTTGTATTGTAAATAAATAGATATTGTAAATAAAAATGGTTTATTATAAATTTAATATGAAGTTAAAAATTGTAGTTGTTAAAAGCATTGTTAAATACGTATAAGAAATTATTTAATATTTTTTTAAAAATAAAATAATTTTATATAAAATAGGAAAATGTTGTATATATGAAAAAAAGTGTCAAATTTGTTGTATGCGTATTTAATTTGTTAAATTTTACTGATATAATTTGTTGTATGTGTATTGAATTTGTTGATGCAGGATGACTGATTTTGTAATAATAGTATATTGGAATGGTCGAATATTCTCGAGTAATGAGGGTGTTACCTTTGAAGGAAATAATAAAATGATTAAAATTGAACGTAAAATAAGTTTTGAGACATTAAAAGAAAATATTCATAAAAAAATTACAATTGTCTAGTTATATCTAGATTAATTTCACAATTTTTAGTAGATTCAATTGGTAGACAATATACAAATATGGACATATGTGATAAAGAAGATATCGATTGTATGTTAAGTGCTTTTTTACAACAAAATCAGAGGAGTGCAATTAAAGTATATGCAGATATTGCATCTGGTCAAAGTTCTTGTATTCGGGCAGAAGGTGTGAACTTAAATGGCACATTTTTACGTGACAATATCTGTGATGATGATGAATATGAATTAGGATCAGGTATGAGAAAGTTTTTCGTTTGATAAAAATTGATTTTGACTGTGTTATAAGTATGTTTATGTGATAGCAAATTTTATGATTATGTAGAAAGTGAATACCAGGATGAAGATATTGATGACGACGAAAATGAATGGAATTTTTCAACAGATAGTTCATCAGATACTAATGTGGATGGTGATCTTAATTCAATATTAAATGCTCATGAAAATGCACCACATGAAGGTATTATATATTATATAATTTAATTTATATATTTCATGAATAAATGATTTAAACTAGAGGATTCGGTTGTAATGCAGGCATGATTGAAACTCTGTTTTGGAATTCAAGTCCGCATTATACTTATATTACATGCTAATCAAGAAATAGAAAATTTAGATGTTCATGCATATGAATGAATCATGGAGGGAGGGTGATGTTGTATATGTTGGGCAAGTGTTTGAGTCTAAAGAGGAGGTAAAAATGGCTATTAAGCATTTTGCAATGAAAACACATCAAAGTTATTTTGTGGTGGAATCAAAACCAACTAAGTTGCATGTAAAATGTTCAAACCATACAAGTGGTTGCCCCTGGAGAGTAAGAGCAAATTTAGGCAAACTTTATAACAAGTGAAAAATCACAAGATATGGTGGAACACATACATGTGTTAATCCAATGATGTCTTTAGACCACAAAAAACTTGATTCAAACTTTATTTGCTCTTGTGTTCTTGGTAAGTTTTTCTAAACTATTTGTTGGTTATTATTTCTATTTTGTAAAATATATATATATATATATATATATATATATATATATATAAATGTTACTGAAATTGATTTTCGTTATTGTAGGTATGGTAAAAAAACAACCGTCAGTGCCAATCACATTAATTCAAGAAAGAATTAATGGTTAATTTGGTTATCAAGTTTCTTATAAGAAAGCATGGAAGGCAAAACAAAAAGCTATCATAAGAGTTTTTGGTGATTGGGATGAAACGTATGCTACATTACCTACATAGTATATGCAATTACATGCTCCTAGATCTGTTTATAAGATTGAAACGAATGAGTATGTGAGGGGTCACTAAGTTGATAACAGATTTCAAGTATTTCATTGGTTATTTTGGTCATTCGGATAGTGCATAAGTGCTTTCAAATTTTGCAAACCTTTAATACAGTTTGATGGTACGTTCTTGTATGGTAAGTACCGACAAACTCTATTGATTGCTACCAGCCAAGATGGAAACAATTGTGTCCTTCTAATTGCATTTGCAATTGTGGAAGGAGAGACTTTGTCAGCATGGGAATGGTTCTAGGCTCTCATTCGCATTCATGTCACAAAAAAGATAGGTATCTCTTTAATATTTGATAGACATCAAAGCATCAAAGGTGCAGTTTCTAATCCACATATAGGATGGCAACCTCCCAATGCATATCATGTGTATTGCATTCGTCATATAACAAGCAATTTTAATCAACGATTCAAGAATCCAACTTTGAAGAAAGAGTTGATAAAATTAGGTATGAATATGGTTGTTTTTATATACGTGCAATTCGTATTTCATGTTTACAAAGAAGACTATGTTTTGAATATGCTTGATGCTTAACATCCTTTTCATTGTATATGTATAGGATACACAACATGCAAACAAAGTTTTGAAGAAAAACTTCAATGGTTTCGTAATCACTCTGAGGATCTAAAAGGTTGGATTGACTGTATCTCCAAAGAAAAGTGGACGCTTGCATAGGACGACGAAGGAAGACGTTATGGACATATGACAACAAATTTATCAGAAGCAGTTAATAAAATTTTTAAAGGAGTCAGAAATTTGCCTATAACTGCACTGGTAAAATGTACGTAGTCACGCTTAGTTCAGTATTTTGTGAAGCGTGGCGAAGACGCATCGTCAAATTTCAATGCAGGTATGAGATTTTGTCGTAAATTAATGCACCAAATGGAAAAAAAAAATCAAGAGGAAGCGTCTTCACATCAAGTTCGACGATATGACATTCAAAGGACAAGATTTGAAGTAGAAGAGGCATTTAATCCTGTCACTCAACGAGGTGGTAATAAGTGAAGTGTGATATTATCCAATCTATTTTGCCAATGCGGAAAGTTCCAAGCATATTGATTTCCATGCTCTCATGTTATAGCTGCTTGTGCATCTGTTAGTATTGATTATTGGCAATATGTTGATCCTGTTTATTCAGTGGATTATGTTGTTAATGCATACTCAGTGCAGTGGTGGCCTCTTGGAAGTGAAAGCAACATTTTCAGGGCCAACGAATATAAATTAGTACCTAACAAAGAAAGAATAAGGAGAAAAGGTCGACCAAAATCCACACGTAT